ATATTCTTCTTCGTATTTATTTGGCAAAAAATCGCGTCTTCTCCAAATTTTATACTAGAAGAAAATGTACTTTTCGGTTTTAAAATGTTTTTCGATTCCCGGATAAATTTAAACCCGATCTGCCGTGACATTTGAGTTTAGGAGTTCAAGTCTAGAAGCTTTATAGTTTTCTTGTAAAGAAAATCATTAATTCCCTCATGCTATTCAAACATGCCATGTAGTGTTCATAAAATTTTTCGCACTAAAAAGCCGACAACCCGACGTGACCAAAACAACTGGAGATAGTGCTGCAGTACTACAACCTTACTTACTATCCTGATCTACAACGCTTTTCAGATCTTCGATCAAAATTTCATGAAGTAGCACATCCACTGTGTATACCTGATAAATAACATTTATCCGTCTACTGCAAAGAACTGCACGTTTATATTACCAAACCACTAACTGACGCATATAATTTCTGTTAATGCTTTGTAGCTCGACAAGGTGGACGCGGCTTAAGACAAGCCACTGGGGAACAGCGTGCAGCGGCTATTGAGAGACTCGGACAACTATTACTTCAGTCGCAGGACGAGATTCAGGAGGCCAACTCTAAAGACCTACGTCAGGCTCAAGAGAACGGTAAGGAATCTGGTCTTTCGTCTAAGTGATTGGCCTTTTCTGAGGCTTTTTAGAGCAAGTGAAAGGTGGGAGTAATATTCGCCCCATGCTGGAATTTCTTCTCATTTAACTGACACATTCTCCACCGCGCGTCGTGCTTTCAGTTAGTAGCCTGAAAATCAAAATCATACTGGCCGTTCCCTTAGTCATATGTCTTTGATTTACCTCGTTGATGAGAAAACAATTTCTTGGGGTAAGGTCGGGAAAGCAGATGTAGGACGTGCGAAGGAATGAGAGGTCGCACACGGAGGATACTGTTTCGAATTTACGTCACACAAGCTGTCAAATGACAGTAGTGCGAGTTCTACACTAACACAATGGAATTCACTGTTTTATGATGAACTAGTTGCCTGCTGGATTGGACAGAATAAACGCTGAGGACTTGCGAAAAGGCTCAGAGCTCGTTCTGTAAATACCAGCTCAAAAGAACTATTCTCTGACTCAGTCTTTGCACCTATCTGATGCCTTTGTGTCGTCTTGGCAAGAATTTGCCAATGAAATAGTATTTGTTGCAAGACGACCTTGGTACAAAGCTTGATGTCGCTAGATTGTGCTACGGCATAATATCCATTAATAGCTCCGAGCTAGTTGAGGTTGACTGTAGCTTTAATAGGGCTCAGATATGTAGGGAAAGCGAGGGTAGTCTTGAAAGCATCATCTTGGGCGGAGTCAGTTTTACAAACTTTCTGGACTCCGAATTAAGCGAAATTTAAGTATGGGCAGTCTAACAGTTTAGTGCAGGTGCCTCTCAGAGTTCAGTTACCACTTTAGTGTAGACAGGACTGACAGAGTACGCTTTGAATCTGAATGGCTCCGATGATGCAGGTTATCTGATCCCAGAGCCTCAAAGGAACTGCGCAACCACACCTAAGACTCCACAACTGACATGTTGCGGTTTTTTGTATAGATTCTAAAACATTTTGTATGTGTACAGATAAACGATGTCTTGCCAGCCTTCCAACATATTTTTAAATTATTCCCTCGGTTTCGCAAGCAATCGTTTCGTAGGCGGTCGAACTTACTGACTATTTTGACAATGAAAGTTCAGAAAATCGAACAGTGTGTTCAAGGGCATTTCAAAGAACCCGGTCTCGTTTATTCAAGTCTTTGTCAGAAGTCTGTAACGTTATGAGGGGGTCGTAAATGTCCAAATGCAGTCGAAGGTTAATGCCGACCAATCGAATGTGGGGAACTCGAAGGGACAGGTTTACCAACTCCTATTCTCTCGTTTCTTGCCCCAACTTTCTGCAAAAGATCGGCTTCCCTGCTGTCTATCACATACCAGTGAACTATGATCTAACCCTAGCCGGAACCACCTGATAACCAGAAAGACATTATGACTTGGCAGTATTACAAATAACAGGTCTTTGGCGCCTTACAGAAGATAGAACGGTTGCAGAAACGAGAGCCCTGTGTCAGCAAATAAGACCTCATCGTAACTCCGCAGGACGACTCCATTAATCGCATCCAAATGACGATCAGCAATGGGCAGAGTCAGCACCCACCAAAGTGGATGACGCCGTATTATTAAAAGATTTAAAGTGCGGCCGCCTGAGTATACTAGAAAAAAAGGGTGCTCGACTGGATTACCGGAGAAGCTATCCGGTCATAAAAAATTTCTAATCAAATTGTTGAGAAAATAAAGGGAGCTCGACTTCAGCAATTTAGAAGCAGAATCAATCTGGGAAAAAATGAACTGATGGGGGAAATGAGATCACTCACTGACTTCAAATTAGTTGGATGGCGGGGAATTCCTATGTTACGCACAACACTATATTTAAAGATGAAAACGTGTTCAGCTACTGATTCTTCGCTGCAGTTGCAGCAGGTCGCAGGCAAGGCCTTAGGATTCGACAATTCTATCAAACGTACAGTGTGCTCGGAAACGTCAACAGTAAAAGATCAGGACGCCTGGGAGATGAGGCGCACAAGAGGGTGCACATT